CTGTCCCCACCCACCAGCACTGCTCCTGGGCCAGAAGCAGCGGCTGCTGAGTGCCTGCAGCCTCCCCATTTGCTGGTTTCCTGACCTCCATGCTCCAGAGTCCCCACTGCTTCCTTCCTGGAGTTTCAGCTGCTGTGTGTCTGCAGATAGGGCACCGTGGAATTGCTTAGCTAGCTCCGGGGAGGAGGAAAACCTGAGAAAGAGAAACTGTGGATTTCATGAGATTTCATTCATCCTCCAGCCATCTCTATATTACTGTTCACATCTTAACCTCAGCTTGCAGATCTTTCTGTTTCTTTTCCCTTGTTTGGTTTGCAGTAGGTAGCTGCAGTAAAAGGCCCAGGCAGCCCCATGCCCAGGGCAGGGTTTCCCGAGCCTTCCTATTCCTTCACCACTTTCCCAGAAATCTTGGTTCTACTCAGGCAGACAGGTGCCTCGGGCCCTTTGATGGGGCGCGGAGAGCTGAGGCTGCAGTTCAGCAGGAATGGGGTTCCTCTCCGTGCACACTAGCCTGCCCACTCCTCTCAGCACACGCCGCTCAGACACCCCCCAACAAACTTCTGACCTGAAAGCTCAGGCCGCCTGTGTGACAGGGTGCTTGTCAGGAGGAGAGCCCAAACTCATGCTGCCACAGCAGTTGACCTCCCCTCCTGCCCCAGCTCTACTTTTCTCACTGGAGCGCCCCTTCCCCAGGTCCCTCCAGCCCCCACCCCTGCCGACTTGCCAGAGTTGTGTGAGAAGCGGCAAGTGGCGCCAGAGCCCAGCCTCACCCAGCCCCCCCTCGGCGGCCAGTGAGTTGAACTAAAACTAAGGCTTAGCAGTCAGTGGGTAAACTTTTTACATTTAGAAGAAATTCATTCTGACATAAGTGCTTTAAGATCTTTTAATTTTGATTTCTATGAATTTCCTTTTTAGGGGTCCATCATTAGCAGTCCTCACATGCGCCGGAGAGCTACATCAACACGAGAGTGTCCATCTCGCCCACACCAGACTATGCCTAATTCTTCCTCCCTCCTGGGCTCCTTGTTTGGGAGTAAGAGAGGGAAGCCCCCTCCTCAGGCTCACCTGCCCTCAGCCCCTCCCCAGCCCCCCTCACACCCGCCAGGCCTGCCCCACCCACATCACCTTGTGGCAGGCCACCACCAGGGGCCTGCAGAGGGCCCTCCACAGGTCCCGACGCACGGGCACCACACCCAGTACTGCCACCTGCAGCAGAACCCGCCCCCCTACCACCACCACCACCATTACCACCCCCCCCAGCACGTCCCGCATGCACACCAGTACCACCACAGCCCCCATGGGGGGCACCTGCCCTACGGGGCCCACACACATAGCCACCCACCACTACCCTTGGCCCATGCCAGCCATCCTGGCCACTCGGGCCACACAGCACATCACCACGGGCAGGCCCCTGCCCCACCGCCCCCCACCAGCAGCAAGGCCAAACCCAGTGGCATCAGCACAGTTGTGTAGACAGCTTGAGCGGGGATCCCAGACTCCCCAGAGCAAGTGCACACCACATAGGCATGCCTGGGGGCAGCCAGCCTCAGACCAGGCCTGGGCACTTCTGTTTCCATCTCTCCCCGCATCTCCCCAAGGCTTGGATGGAACCCCTTGAGCCCATGGGCTTGTGTTGTAGGGAACAGAGCTCCTGATTTAATTCAGCATAGGTGCCCGGGGCTCCATCCACCGTCCACCTCAACCCAAGGTGGGCCTCAGCCACCGTCAGCCTTGAAACAGTCCCTCCAGCCAAGATGTTGAACTCCCGCCCCCACTGCAGCCCTCAGCTCCCTCCTCCCTAATTGTACACGCATATGAAAAGTCTAGAGAAAGAAGAAACAAGACACAAAAAACCAGAGACACAACAAAACAGAAAACCCAAAACTTGCTGCATTATTGCTCTTTTATTAACAATGGGCAAAATTAAGTAGACCTGATATGGTTGATGAGAATACGTAAGTAAACTTTATATAATATAAATATATAAATATTTAAATAAATATATGTATATACTGTATAGGTAGTATTCGTGTGTGAAAGGCAAACATTTCAGGCCACAAAGTTAGCAATATAGATGTTACAAGGAGCTCCACTCCCTAACAGGAAGACAGCACCTGAGCTGACTGAGAGGAGACCAGACCTAGATGCTAGGAGCCAACTCAGAGAAGTCCCTCCAGGACTGACAGATCATTACTAACTGTGCCAAGTAGCATAGCATCTAACTGTTTAAAAAGTCCAGTATTGCTTTATATAAATCCTTATTTTATTAACAGAATACTATCATAAGTACTCAGTATTATAACTGCTCTGTTATTTCAGGTAAGCAAGTAGATAAAGTGCAGTAAGCTGCAGTAGCAACTCAGGATAACTAGTTGAGAACTGGTTGTCTTAGAATGTTGGTTACCCAGATTCATGCACACGTGAACGGCTGTGAAAACTGTGAATTTCCATGATCCATGTTCCTTTTATAGGCACATGATTCTGAGCATACTCATTCAGAGTCCTCTGAGAGGGGCACCCATGCACGGCAGATGCATCACCTCCACCATGACATGACCAGCGCTGGCCCTCGTCCCCCTCAGCACCGTCACTTCCTCCTCCCGCCCCCGCTCCAGCAGGCAGGAGCCCGAGCCCGGCTCCAGGGGAACCGCTTTCAGACCTGCAGGCTGAGCTTAGTGTTTAGCAACCCAGGGTGGTGTGTGTTCCCTGTTTTATTTTCTGAGTGGTAGCCGTGATCATTGTAACTTCATGTAGTCATGTGCTAGCATAACCCCGTGTCATCACCGTGGCCCTGTGACCCCAGCTGACACGTGCCAGCCTCACTGGTGAAGCCCCCGCTGCCTCCTCATGGTCCACTTAGCTGCCAGGGCATCACATGATCTCAGCTGTGCTCTTGTTGCTTCCGTCTTGTGACACCATCTGCTCCCTGGGGCCGGGCGCTGCACGCGTCCAGTTCTGTGCCTGAGTCACCCATGGGCCATACTTTGTAGTTTCAGCCTTTCGAGCCACTGCAGCCACCAGTGCTGTGTTCCTAAGCCATGGGACCCGAGGACTGCCCCACGGCACCTGCCCAGGCGGAGAGCCCTTTCAGAAAGGGCGAAGCTAACGCAGGACTGTGGGCTCCGGGGCTCCGTGCTCCGTGGAAGGTGTGGCGAGCTGTGGCCGGACGGCAGACGACAGAGGGGAGCCCGCCCTAGCCAGCGGCTGGGTGTCCATTTCCTCCCCACCTGCCCCTTTGTCATATCATTGAGGTCATCATACCAGCAAATCTGCAAACAGCACTTTGTTAATCTCCACAGAGAGCAAATACAGCACCAAGAGTTTAGCCTTTTTTAAAAGAAGTGTGACTTTGACCTGCCCGCCTTTTCTTCCCGTTGGTACAGCTTTTCTCTCTCGGGCATCTGCTCAGAGAGCAATAAAAAGCACAGGCGTGCCTGACTTGGTCCAGGCCCAGCTGGTGGGAGGCCCCCCAGTCCACTGACTGAACCTTTGGTTTCCCGTCAGAGCCAGCTCCCCAAGGCATTCTCTGCATTTAAAGGGTGCTGTTCTGACGAGGGAAAGTCAGGTTGTGCTGCGTGTCGTCGGTGCTGCTTGTGTGAAGCCACATCTGTGTATTGTATATTTGCAAAATATATCAGTGTTACTGTTGACAAATAGTTGAAGTAAAGTGATAACATATTAAATATGTCGGCCTTTTTTTATCCCTCTGTACCAATGGTAGAGTTCAACTGTAAACTCTAGGTTGTTCCAGAAAAGACAGGCTGTTTGGTGCAGGTTGCTTTTTCTGAAGGGGCAGTCTCTAGTGGGAAGCAACAGAGAGCCAACTGCAACTGCACTGGTGGCCCGGTGGAGGGGCTCTCTCCCTTGCATCCTCCAGGCTCCAACCACTCAGTGCTCTCGCCTCCAAAACTCTTCTGTGCCCTGAAGTCTTGTCAGGTGCCACAGGCCCGGGCCTAGTGAAAGGGCCTCTCGACACGGTCTCTCCCGTGTTTCCAGCTCTGCCCAGCGTTGGGTTCAGGTCGGTGAGGCCTGACCATTCTCCGTGTTTATTTGCAAGCGTCATGGGAAGTGTTTCCAGAAGCACATTGTTCCATTGAAGAGACTGGTCCCTGCTGCCCAGGTCTTGTCTGGGAAGCAACAGCTCCTGATAGACGGGAGCTTCCATGGGGCTGTGCTCTCTGGATCCAACCTGCAGTCACAGCTGGGGGCCTGTTCACAGAGCCCCTCATCCCCCCAGGGGGCTGAGCCGCCACAATGTTTGTGTCATTTCATCTGCCGGGATCCTCGGGATGCTTTCTCAAGTCGCACAGATTATTTCAATTACATGATTTCTGACAGGAGCAGGAGATCCTTAGAGGAGGTGGCTGGTAGTATCACAGAGTCTTTTCTGGGACAACACCTGAATCATGTATTTGTACTTTTTAAAGTTTATTAATGAATTTACAACACTGTAAAAATAAAGTTCATCCTAATATGATGTGCACATCTCGCTTAACAAGGTCCCCAGTTGCCCCGGAGCTTGACTCCCTCCCTGCGCTGCATGCAGCAGAGGCCTCCTTGTCTTTCAGATGAGCTAAAAAGACAGCAGACACTTGAGCACGCCCCTCGGTGTTGACTGGCGTTCCACAGGAAGCTGTGTCCGCAGGCTGAGCATGCACCTCACAGTCCTGCTGTAAAACATTGCCCTGCCTGGAAAATGAGTAGTTCTGTACATATTTTAAATAACAGTAATCAAGGGAACAGAGTGCACAGTGACTCAGTGTGGAGGGGCGGGGGCGCGGAAAAGACGCTTGGAAGAGCCTGCTTGAGGCAACCTGCACGTTCGTGCTGCTGTCTGCAGTCTTGCTGAGGTTGGTGCAGTGCGGTCATTCGCCTTCAGGTTGTTTTAAATAATTAGAATCAAGTCTTGGATGCAGACTGTTCACAGACTTCAAGGGACACCCACTTTGTAACTTTGGGGAGGAAAGGAGTGCTTTGTTTTAATGTGCATTCTGTTTGTGAGTAGTAACAAGACTCTATTGATGTAAAACCATAGCTGTGATCATGTGGAGAAATCAAATAAATCCTTTAAAATTCTCAGGTTCTCACTTTTTCTGAAAAGTCCAGGTGTTTCCCTGTTGGCCACAGAGAGGTTTCCAGCTGACAGGTGTGCTCATCTTTGTCGTGACTGGGCAATGGGTCTCCTGGAAGACCCTGGCCTGACTTTAATTTGAGATGCTTAAAGGTACGTATCTCAACTTCAACTCCGATAGAAGATGTCCAAGGCATTTATAATTTCTAGCAACTTTCAGACTTTAGTGTTTTCATCAAGTTAGAAGAGGTGGATCCTATGAAGTTTTGAGGTGGACGGGATGATTTATGGAGGGAGAATACTCCGATGGCCCAGTCCTCAAGTGCTTGAAGAGAGTTTATTTAATAGGTCACAGTTATCTGTTGCCCCATGTTGGTTCACGCGATGTGCAGAATCTAGGAAGGTGGATTCTGATCCTACGTGATTGACTTGTCCTGTGTCTTCCTTCTTTCCTGGAACCAGGTACAGTTTCAGAGAAGACTGCCTTACGTTCAGTACATACCATAAAATGTAAAACTGGTAGATCTAATTTGTGGAAAACAAAAAATGTTAATTTCAGTGACCAAAATTTACCGTGGCTCACCCTTCATGAAGAAGTGAATTTTGATCAAAAGATGTTCTGAGATTTCTGCCCCTGGGTAACCATTCCTTTTCCAGGCCGTTCAGGGTTCTTCAACACAGTGAAGCTGGTCACTGCAGTCTCCTGGAATGCTAGCTTGACTCCGGCGTTTGTCTCTGGCACACGGGGCTGCCTGCCACCCCCCGCTTGGTGCAGGTGAGCCGCTGAGCCACGGAGTCCACGTGATGATGCTCTGGGTTTTATGCTTGTCTCTCATACCAGATTGTGAGCTCCTTGGGGCAAGGGGTCAAGCTGACCCACTTCTCTGTGTCCGGTGACCAGCACAGGACTGGTCTTGTCAAAATGCATCTGAAAAGGATGCATTTGTTAGACGGAGGAGGGGGTGACAGCAAAACCACTTGTTGATCTTACTGTGTGTAAATCATCGGAATTTTATGGAGACATGTTCGCTCAGCCCTTTGCTACCCTTGACACTGAGAAGTCTAGATGGGGACACACTTGACACTGTCAGAATTCCGCAGACATGGTCTGTGCTCCCTGACGTTCCCTCCCCCACTCACAGTTTTAGCGCTCATTTTACTTGACCTCAGGGCAGCTTCTGAGATTGTTCAAGTCCCTGCCCGCAACAGCATTTCCTCGTCGCCTTTGGTCCCACACCCTGGCCTTCTTCTCGGGGGAGCCTTCACTGTCTCCTCTGCGGCTAACACTCCTCCACAGAGCTGTTAAGTGTTGGTCTGAGGATCAGGCCCAAGCTCTCTTCCCTCCTTTACTTCCCTCTAGGCCATTCCGTGCAGGTCCGCACTTTCTGTCTGCCTTCCATACACCTATAGCTTCCAAATGCGAATCTGCTGCCCAGAGCTCCACTCTGAGCACCCATGTTCCCTTGGGTCTTTCTTTATCTCCATGACAAATATATGGTCACATACACACATAAAAAAACACAACTGGGGCCTCTGCTGTGTTCCCTACGTTGGCAAATGGCATCACCACTGAGTTGTATAAATGAGAACTTAGGGATTGTCCTTGACACCTCTCCTTTCAATGACTCCAAGTCCATTCTGTCACCAAGCCCTTTTGGTCTTTCTCCTTCTACATGTTCTTGAGTGCATTTCTCCACATCTGACACTGCTTCAGGCCAGTACCCGTCTCACCTGGACTAGAGCTCCCTAACCGGTCTCCACCACCACTGAGGGTCCCTCAAACCCATTCTCCACATGGCATCAGAGGAATCGTTTTAAGGTGCAACCTGTGTAAAGCAATGTCAGTGGCTTCCTGTTGCCCTTCTGATTAAATCCTTAGTATGGCCTTCATGAGGCCTGCATGGGCGGACTCTGCCTGCCGCTCACCTTCGCTTTCCCCTGCGCTCCAGCCACGTGAGCCTTGCAGGTTCCCAGACACGCTGTGCCCCCCACCGGGCGTGCAAGCATGCCCCTCTTGCATCTGGGTTCAGTTAGCTCCCATTTCATGAATCAAATCCTAGCTTGGCGATTATCTCCTCTGAGATCTGTTCCCTCAGACATATATTCAATAGTGTGGTAATTTTGTTCCAGTAAGTGTCACAAGGTCAGGACAGTGCCTGTAATCTCAACATGTGACACAAAGTAGGGCTTTCATAAATGCCTGCTGAATGAGTACATGAAGACCACAGACCCAAAGAAGGAAACTCAGTGTGGAAATGTACGATGGCATCCAGAGGCTCAGAAGGAGATCCGTGGCCTCGGCAAGCAGCCTGGCCGGAGTGCTGGGCAGAAGCAACCAGCGTCCTGGGTGCTACAGGCATTTCTTGTTAGTTTGAGGAATAGATTGGGCAGTGGTTGGAGGGTTTTAATAATTGTGTTTTAGCTTTCATCAAATGTGAATTAACATTTAGAGGGTTTAGAATGACTAGATTTATAAAAAGTAAGGTTAAAAATCACCCACAACCCCACCAACCCTGAAACAGTTATAATTATTTGGTCTATTTTCATTCCATCTTTTTTTCATAAACAGTTCTCAGTTACCTAGTTCAGGTCTTCTGTGTGTATACCAAAAGGTGTGTAAGTGTTGTTTGGTGCCCCTCATAAAAAAAAAAAAAAAAAAAATTCACAATGAAAAACATCTAGGAAATGCTAAGTTAGTCAAAGTTAAACTAGTTTCTTTACTGCAGGACTTCTCAGAGCCTTTTAAAGACATGATGTGTATTGTCAGTCTCTGTTAGTAAAAGTTTATATGTGTAAATTTTAGTTTTTTCCTTAGTATATTCTGATGTTATGAAAGACTCAGTAGTTTATAACGTCTGCCTGATAGCCCATCGTGTGGATGCCCATGATGTGCTGGCCATGCAGATGGTGCTATTTTGGTGAATGAGGAACAGAAGGAAATAACAGTTACTGAGTGAATTTGGTGATTCTGGCAAGAGTTTGGGATCTGGAAAGGTAGACACTACTGAATCTGACCTTAGTGCTGAGCTCCTGGGGTGCACATTGACACCATTTTGGTAACTCCGGGTAGCCATGTGTCACCGGAGGTGCCTCTCTGTTCAGTGTGTTCAATCGCTTTCCAAGGGAGCCGAGCTCTCTGCACAGAGTAGGCGTGTCATGACGTGCTGGCTGGCTGAGGACAGGTCTGATGTGAAGGCTACTTGCCTCTATTTCTAATGTGGAGCTTCGTGACTTTTAAGGCTATTTTAGGGAATCTTTTCTTCCCTTTCTATTGCTTCTAATTGCATTCCAACCCACCTCCACAATGTGACCAGTGTCCTATAAGAAAAAGTTCCAATTAAATCTGAAAGGTAGGAGCTAAAGTTCTTAAGTCGTCTTTCACGGAGTAAACAGGGAAGAGAGCTTTCAAAAATAACACCAGAAGACCTGAATGGAATCTCTTCTCACATCGTTGAAGAGCTGTTCGGAAAAAGAACCAATAAAATTACCTGTTGCTCAGAACTACAGTGTAACCAGGATAGAGCAAAATCCCACCAATTTCAGTGAAAAGTCAGTGGGGAAATACATGTTAGACTGGGAGAGTCGGCGCCAGATCTCATACCAGAACACAGAGCCGGGAGGGGGCCGCACAGACAAGGGGAGATGGCACGGTCCTCGTGGTGGTAGGACACTCCACCAAAGAGAGTTCGTGCCTGTAAGGACAGAGACCACCCAGAGTGGAGACAAGCGGACAGAGGTGAGACCTGGTCAGATCAGGAGAGGAGACTTGCCAAGTGCAGGGACACTGCTTCTGGAGAAGCAGGAAGCACCTGGGAAAGGGCGGTTTCCCTGGGAGGCTGGTGCTGCAGGAGAGAAGGGAGCAGCTAAGCGATAAGGGCCCTGTTAAAACAAGACGCTGTGAAAGAAGCGGAAGACAGACAAAAAATAAAGTGTCTTATTTAGGGAACTGCAGCAAAGTGGGACATTTTTGAGTAAAACCACATAAGACCTGGTGCTTCTCCATAACATCACTGCTATGGAAAATCCAGTACGAACAAACACAAAGTCTTCATACAAAAGTACTTTTAAGGAGGAAAATTAGAAAACTTTTTAGTAAATAAAAACACAGGATACAAAGTCAAAGCAGCGGGAACTTGTAACACAACACACATCATTCATGAAATATAGTTAAACAACCAATAAGATATGAAAGAACAGCACACATCATAAACTCAGCAGCTCGGAATATGGTAAAAGTGGAGGAGAAGATGTGCGATGGGAGCTCAGGAAACTCAAGCACAAAACTGAAGAGAAATACAAAATTACCTCAAACCAAAGAATTTATATGCACATTTGCACAACCCAAGGACACGGACAATGGTGGGGAGAGGAACTGGGGAGGGGGAAGGGATGGGCTGCAACGGGTCATTGGGGAGAAAGAGGGACATCTGTGATATTTTAAACAAAAATAACATTTAAGAAAAAACAAAAAACAAAAAATTACCTCAGCTGCCTACAGGAGAGTGGATGTAATTGAAAATATAGAAACAGACATAGAGGATCCAAGAAAATAAAATGTAAGGAGGTGCAGTATTAAAGATCGGAGAGAAAGTAGAGATGTAGCAGATGGAAAAAGAACATCTAATGGACATGTAAACAGTGAAATAAGAGGAAGATGTAAGAGTAATTAAAGAGAAAGGTCTCGCCTGGCCGGTGTGCTCAGTGGTTAGTGTTGCCCTGAGGCCTGAAGGGTCCTGAGTTCGATTCCGGCCAAGGGCACGTATCCTGGTTGCAGGCTCGATCCCCGGCCCCGGTCAGGTCAGGGCTCGTGCAGGAGGCAACTGGTTGATGTCTCTCTCACATCAATGTCTCTCTCGCTCGCTCTCTCTGAAAAGCAATGGAAAAAATATCCTCAGGTGAGAATTTAAAAAAAAAGAAAAAAGATTTTTAATAAAGAAGAGCTGAACCTACTACATCCTGAAAACTCCAACTATGTCCTTGGAGCGAAAATTACCCAGAATTATCAACACTGAAAGACATATCCTAGTAAAATTAATGAACTCGGAAGATAAACTCTCTGGATCTCAGATTCAAAAGGATAGAAAAGTAGCTTTGCACAGGTTCTGAACATACAAGCATGTGATGAACACACTCCGTAGGCGTCCTTCCTGGGAATCTGTCACAGACAAACCATGCAACCAACACATTCCAGAAATTTTGGCAAAAGGACTGACGAGCACTGGATACATAAATTGTACATATCTGGGTCTGAAGCGGAAGTGGGGATACAGATGGGAGAGTACCAAGCAAGTTATATGTTCAGACAAAATAGAAATAGCACAAACTTTTAAATGGGAAGAGAAGGAAGACAAGTGGAAGAGCCTTAGTCCCTGCCTGTGTTACTAGGTGAGAGTCAAACGATACTGAACCTGATAAAGCCAAACAGTAAAAGTCTAAGTAAGAAAACAGTGGACTAACAACGTTATATCAAAGTGTTATTATAATGGTAACCTCTAGAACAAAATACAAATCTTCCCAAATATAAAGCAAAGCAAAATGCGTTGGTGGGGGAAGAGAGGAGAAAGTAACATCCACAGGTAACTACACAAGGTGAAATATCCCAGGTAGAAGACCAAACATACCAACTGTATCAATGAGCGTAGTGTGTTTAGCTCTCCTATTAAAAAGATTTTAAGATTGACTCATGTATCGCTCAGCTATTGCCATAGTAATTCTGTGTGACAGCCCCAGACTCAGCAGCATTAAGCAATAAACGTGCATTTTTGACCCATGCATCTGCAGGTTAATTGGGGTTCAGCTAATCTAGACGGGGCGCTCCTCCACTTTTACCGTATTCTGAGCTGCTGAGTTTATGATGTGTGCTGTTCTTTCATATCTTATTGGTTGTTTAACTACATTTAATGAATGATGTGTGTTGTGTTCCAAGTTCCCCGCTGCTTTTGGAACTTTGTAGACTCACTTTAAGAACTGCCTTCATTTCAGTAGTTACTTTCCTCTTATCATTTCTTATTTTGTGTGTTTGTTTCTTTTCATCCTGATTTGGTTATAAGTCCACTTTGTTTCTTTTCAAAGAACCAGCTTTTTAAGTTTTACTATTTCTCTGTTGACACCCCCACAATTTTTGAATTGTTTTCAAATAAATTGTTTGTTGCAAATAAATTTGAAAAAGGTAGATGAAATGAGAATTAGCCAAACTGACCCCAGGTGATGGAGGAATTTTAAACAGACAAATTCCCATAAGGGAAATAGAAAACTTAGTCAACCTGCCAGGCCCGTGTGGTTTCATGGAAGATTTCTTCCAAACCTTCAAATACCAGGTAATCTCAATGCTACTTAAGCTTTCAAATCACAGCAAAGGAAGGAAAACTTCCAAATTCTTTTTATGAAGTGATTGTATCAGTGTTTACCAAACCTGATAAATATTGTGTAAAAACAAAACTGCAGACCACCAATGCAAAATTGTTAATAAAATAATAGCAAACATCTAATGGCACATTAAATGTAAACTAATATACTTCACAGTGAAGTAGGGGCTTATTTCAGGAATGCAAGAATGATTCAGTATTAGGAAATCCATAAATCCATCCTTTTCATTGAAATCAGAAGAAAAATCATGATTTTTAAGGGATATTCAGTGGAGCTGTGACAACTTGAGGGTCATTAATATAGCCCACAGCATTCCAAAGTCATGAGCTACCCTGAAGGGCATACCCACATGATTCAGCCTGCTGTGCTGAAGTAGCCAAAGGTAAAGATGCTGCCTCCATGACTTCAAAAGGGGTTACAGTAGGATCCAGCACAGTCCTCAGCATGCTCTTCTTTAAATATGAACCATCTGTAAACCGTGAGAAATCAGCATTCCCTGGAGGAGTCTCCTGCAGTTCACCAGGAGGTCTTGGGGTGAGCCATCAGTGTTATGCAGTCATGAGGAGCTCAAAATATAGCTCCTGTCAAATTCTAGGATTATTTTCCCCTTTCAGGAGAAACAGATTCCAGCATGATGCTTCTCTAGGAAGTCTCGGCCTACTCAATACACAGGGGCAGAGAAACTAAGAAGAAAAGGGTGTGTATCTCTTAATGGGACTAAGCAAAAAGGCATAGATTCAGAGACAGGAAACTGTTGACACCCACACTATTTTTTAACTGTTTTCTTACTTTAAGGCAGAGCAGTTCGGAGCAGTGGGGTTGCACATGGAGAGTGAGGCTCCAGTGTCACTAACGACAGAGGAGATTCATTCTCTGAGCAGATTAAGAGGGAGGATTGGAAAAAGCCCCAGTAGTTCCTTTGAGCTCTATCATTGGGGATTAGGAGACACTGGGAAGGCTGATTAGAAGGCTAAAGGTCCCTGAAGCATTTAAATTTGTGGCAATCCCTTTTCTAATGTCCTGGCTCTTTGCAATAATAGCAGAAGCTGCACAGGAATCTGGAGGGCCTGTGGGAGATGTTTTGCTGCAGGTGTCTTAGCCTGCAAATCCCCTCAGGAGATAGATGTAGGGACAGCATTAGGAGGGAGAGACAGAGGCCCAGAGCAGGGTGGTGGCACCTGACTGGGGTGAGGAAGCATCCACATGGTGGGGGAGGAGGGGTACACAGCAACCTTATGAGGGGTGTTGAAAGGTGAGGAAGATGAAACATGGGGGAGGAATGATGTGGCACAACAATGGAAATTTGTTATGTAGAAGGTGACTGACAAGTAATTGTATTAAGGATAATGGTAGCTATGTTTCTCATTGTCAGAAAAGGGAATTACAGGTATGGAAAGAGAGAAATTTAGAATGGATCCCATAGTGATGGACTGAAACTGGAGATATTGGAGTGCATTAGTTATTTTTTGCTGCATCACAAATTACCCCCAAACTTAGTGGCTTTAAACAATAAACATTTCTTATCCACCAGTTTGTGTGGGTCTGAAATATGGGAGTTGTTTAACTGGTGCTTCAAGCCCAGGGTTCCTCACAAGGTTGCAGCCTCAGTGTCAGCCAGGGCCATAATCATCTCAAGGCTTATCCGGGGGCTTATACGTGGATTTAGGACTGTTAACCAAGGGATTCAGTTTTTTACCACATAGTCCTCTGCATAGCACTGCTCCCAGCATGGCTGCTGGCTTCCCCAGAGTGAGTCACCAAGGTAACCAAAGCAATGCTGCATTGCTTTCTATGACACGTCTCAGTGACAGAGGATCACTCTGCCGTATTCTATTCATTAGAACCAAGTCAGAAATGGGGATTGTCTTGGAGGCTGGCTATCTCCATCCAACCTCTAGCCCCCTGTGATTCATTTTCCCTTTACATACAAAATACGCTTACTCTTCCTCCTAAAGTCTTCACCCATTATAACATCAGCTCAAAGTCCAGAATCTCATCATCCAGGTGCAGGTAAGGCTCTTGAAACACAGTATCTTTGACTTCAGAACCAGAGATACGTTTTCTGAGCCCCAACCCCCAGCCACGCCCAACACACAATGGTGAGACAGGTCTATATAGGATAACCTCCGTAGACATAATCACAGATGGGGGAGGGAGATGGGAGGCACACAGCAGCAGTTACTGGTCCATAGCAGTTTTGAAATGCAGCCAAGAAAATATTGGAAGCTCTTTGACTAGGACTCAGTCCTATTTTTGCCCAGGTATGGTTCTTCATTTGCCCTTGGCTCCTCCCTCTGGGTGATCCTTCCTTTTCCATGAAAGGTAACGTGTTTGTAGCTCAGTCTGCTTTCTGCCAGTAGAATTTTGGATGTCCAACGGCCTCTTCTCATTTTGTACAGTCTCTGTGCCTTTCATTGTCGAAATGGTGTAAATATCAGGAGGCAGGGATCATTGAGGGTTATTTTGGCGGCTGGTTACCAAGTGATGGAAACTGAAGGTTAACATCCTTACTTTGATAGTTTTATTGTGGCTCAGAATCTCTTATGAGTTTGCAGTCAGGATGTCAGCAGGTGATGCAATCTGTAAAGGCTTGACTGGGGGCTGGAGGATCCACTTCCAAGCTCACTCACACAGGTATTGGCAGGAGGCTTCTGGTCCTCGCTCACTGGGTGGGACTTTCCATAGGGCTGGGCACTGTGACACAGCTTCGCCCAGAGTGTGTGATAACAGAGGGAGGAGAGAGATCATATTAGAAGCTGAAGTGCTTAGTCTAATCTGAGAAAGAACATACCAGCACTATTGGTCAAACAGACAAATGATATTGTAATGCAGGAAGGGGATTGCACAAGGGTGTGAAGCTAGGGACCCGTGGAGGCCATCCTGGGGAAGGCCACCACACCCCCATTCACTCTGTTCCCCTTTCAGAAGCAAATATAGAAACTGGTTAGAAACCAACTTTAATTTAGATAACATTTTTGTTTTCTTTTTAGTGGTAGTAAAGCTTATTAGGCCAGTAGGGGAATTCCTTAGGCACAGATAAGGGTACCATTTTCCAACATTTCCAAATTAAAGGAAAGAATGCCAGAGAGAAAGAACATGACACTTGTTAAAGTACCTGCTTTGGATTCTACTGACACTTTCAAAGGGCCTTGCCTGGATCAGGCACTGTGCTGGCTGCTTTCCTCCAGGTCACCTCATTATATTCCAATATCACTCCTATCCTGTTGGAGGAAACTGGCACAGATAGCTTGTGATTTGTACAAGGTCACCCAGGTAGTAAGCAGAGACTGGGGACAGAAGCCCACTTCTGCCAGCATCCTAGTTGTATGCTCTTTCTGCTCCTCCAGAAGCTTCAGACCCACAGGTTCCCTCAAGGCAGGATAAATGGCAAGAAATGCTTTCTATTCGTTGTTGCCTGCTTACTAAGCTTATGGAATTTAGTGCTCTGTTCATGTTGGTGAGATAGCTAACATGAAATGTTTGCCTTAAGAGTATGTGGGAAAGGCTAAAATAATGTAGCAGGTTATTTTGTAATCATGTCCTCAAGAATTATTATTGGCAGAAGTTCCAATAAGGTGATTAATAGTGACAAGTATGATTTTTAAAGATCTATTTTATCTTATTATTTTGAATAAGTACCTCATGCACATGGTACAAAATTCAAAAGAAACAACTGGGTGGCTCAGCTGGTTGGAGTGTTGTCCTGATACATCAAGGTTGTGGGTTGGATCCCTGGTCAGGGCACATGTAAGAGTCAACCAATGAATATATAAATAAGTGGAACAGCAAATCAATGTTTCTCTCAAATCAATAAATAAAAAGTTAAAAAAAGAAACAACAGTAGAAAATTCAAAAAATTTTCAAAGGAAACAAGCAGCAGTAAATAAAATCTTGTTTATTGTTCTCTCTCCCCATCCTCCCAGTTCTCTCCCTTGAGGCAACTATCATTACCAGCTTACTGTGGTCCCTTCCGGAGGTATTCATGTGTATAATTTGTGTGTGATTAAGAAGCCAGTCAGAGAAAGACAAATATCACATGATTCACTCATATGTAGACTCTAAAGAACAGAATAAACTGATAAACAAAATAGGTCCAGACGTGGAAGCATGGAACAGACTGAGGGATCTCAGAGGGAAGGTGGAGGTGGGGGAGAGATTAACCAAAGAACTTATATGCACATATGCATAACCCATGGATACAGACAATAATGTGGTGAAGGCCTGGGGCAGGGAATGGGTTCAGGGTGGAGTGGATCAGTGGGGGAAAAATGGGACATCTGTAATATTTTGAATAAAAAAAAAAAAGAGAAAAAAATTCTTCTTGCCCGGCCGGTGTGGCTTAGTGGTTGAACATCGACCCATGAATCAGGAGATCACAGTTCGATTCCCGGTCAGGGCACATGCGCCAGTTGCGGCCTCCATCCCCAGTCGGGGGTGTGCAGGAGGCAGCCAATCAATGACTCTCTCTCATCATTCATATTTCTCTCTCCCCCTCTCCCTCTCTCCAAGATCAATAAAAACATACTTTTTAAAAAATTAAGTCTTCTTGTTCAGGATTTATAGTTTATTCCAATGTAAGAGCTATGAGGATTCAAAGGTTCCTGCCAAAATATTGGTTGAGGGAGAGGCACCAGTGTACGGTGCAAACATCTCTGTCGTCGGGATGTCCTGTCTCGTTGCTCATTTTCAGCCATATTTAGCCATCTTGGTGAGGCTCATGGATAAAAGTTAGCTTCTGTTTACTTTCATGCATGCCTATAGAAATGGAGCCCTACACTTTCCTTAGTTAACAATCAAACAAATGTTTGAATCTTCTTACATTTCAGTTGCTTATCCTCTATGATTGTTGTAGCTAACCTAAGGTTCCCTTTACCCCTTTCCTGTACTGGATTACTTGTTTGCTGGTCGTCTTCACTTGCAGTTTACTCCTTTGCTTTAATGGAGCACGTCCAGCAGTAGCTTCCTGGGAAAGGATGCCTACGTGGGAGGTAAATTATTGGGACCATTGTATGTCGAAAAATGCCTTTGTTCTACTTTCACATTTGATTTACAATTTGACTGATTATAGGTTTTAGCTTGAAAATTATTTTCAGAAAAGTTGTTTGGAATTTGGTGGCTTTGGTTCTTTCTATTCTAGCTCCCAGTGTTGCTAAGAAATATGAAGCCATTTTCATCCCTATATCTCTCTGGGAGCTTGTGGCATTTTCTCTTTGTCCCTAGTGTTCTAAAATTCAAAATTATATTCCTCAGTTTGAGTATGTTTTCATTCATTGCACTGAGTATTTGATGGGTCCTTTAATGTGGAAACTTATCTCTCTCAATCCTGAGAAATTTTCTTGATTCATTTCATTGATGATTTTTATCCTAATCCCACCTTGACATTCTTTTTGAAAAGATTTTGATTCATTTATTGGACTAGTTCTCAAATTTTATGCTCTACTTTCTGGGATTTCCTCAATTTTACTTTCAATTCTTTAGCGGAGGCTTTCACTTGTTACCTTGTTTTTCTTATTAAATAGCTCTTTTGTTTTTCAAAATACTTATTTTTTCATAGTATTCAGTTCTTGTTTCATGAGTACAAAAATTTCTCTTACTGTTTTGAGGATGTTGATGGGGCTTTTAATATTTTCTTTTAGCCAAATAGTCTTTGTTTCCTCCCAGTTGCTTTTTATACAGTTTCATCTCTTGCCCCATGGGGAAGGGGGGTCCCAGTCCTGACTGCTGTGTGGCCCTAAGCGAGTGTGGGCTCTAGCCCTGTCGTTTCTTGGGGTGCTAGCAGTTGCAGTTATGGACCTGACACAGCCCCATCTGACAGCAGTATTACCTTGATCTCTGCCTTCATCCTCATGACGTTCTCCCTATGTGCACATCTATGTCCAAATTCCCCTCCTTATAAGGGCACCAGTCATTCTGGATTAGGGGTCCACTCTACTCCAGTATAACCTCACCCTAACTTAGCTAATTACATTTGCAACAAAATGGAATAGGAAATCCTCTTTCCAAATAAGGTCACTTTCTGAGGTACTGGGGATTAGGACTTCTACAAGTGAGTTTTGGAGGTACATAATTCAACCTGTAACACTTGTCAACCCAGAGAAAGATATCTACCAAGGTCTCTGAAAGGTTAAAGTCAGTGGTGCTTGGGCAGGCTAAATAGCCATCTCAGATGGTGAATAAAAAATAAATTTATTTATTTAAAAAGGGATGGGGGATGGGATACCCAAAGGGAAGGGTATTGAGCCAAAGGGTATTGGATCCATGATGACAACAAAAATATACTTAGGACAGTGCATATGTGATAGGCAGTTAGGCAAACATGAGCAGAGCAAGGATGATGGGCCAGGTACAGAGGTCATCAGGGTGGAAAGCCCAGGTGCATAGCAATGGACAACTGTAGGGTGGGACCCCAGGGTGGCTTTGCCTCCTCTAACACATTGCTGGTCATGCAGTTTAGACCCCCTGACCTTTCCTCTCTAGAGATAACATCTAGGCCTCAGTTGTACTTCGGCTCCAGGCTCAGAAAAGCAGCAAAACCAGACAAGTGACAGCATGGCTGACCTCAGGACCAGCTGCATTAAATGATGGCCCCACCCTGGCACAAACCAATCAGCGGAGACCACAACCCTGAAAGGACACACCTGGGAAGCTGCTGAATATTATAATGAGACCTTTCTCTAGAACCTCCACTAAGATAAAACCATTAGGACAGAGGACCCAGCCCTCTCCCTCCTAGGAGAAGCCAGAACCTTTGTCTTTGCCTTTCGTTAGCATTAGCTTTCTCACTCCGAAGGCCCAAAGGCCCTTCCTTTGCCTCTATAACTTGTTTTGTAGGCCCATTTCTTCTGGGAATTACTTCTTCCACCTCTGTAATTTACCAAATAAATGTTCTCTTATACTTTAGGTCTTGGCTCTGAATTCTTTCCTAGCAAAAACCCAAGTTGGAAGGTTGCTAAACCTAGATCTGATATGACCCCCACAGGCCTAACACCCAGTGCTGGTCCCTTTGCCTACAACACCTAGAAGTAACAGGAGAGCCCAGGCTGGGCTGCTTTGGTTTACTGAGAAGTCAGAGATAGGGAGCCTCGGGACAGGTTCAGGGGGTAAGCCCGGGATGAACTGTTGCTGCCCATTGCTCTCCTGGTTGCACATCAGGTGGGGTCCTCTCGGAGGGAAGAAGGGGGACGGAGCTGGAGCTGGTGTGCTTCCCTGGTGGGGGGGGGGCACACGCTGGGTCCTTTGTTTGGAGCATATTTCTTTCTTGCTGGTGGAAAGCTTAGGGGAGGTCTCGGGGGGAGGGCCTCAATAGAATATTCATTAGCTTTCCAGGTGTGCTCTTTCAGGGCCGTGGTCTCCACTGATTGGTCGGTGCCAGGGTGGGGTCATTAGTCAATGTATCTGGTCCTGAGGCAGCCACAGCAGCACTTGTCTGGTTTTGCTGCTTTTCTGGGCCTGGAGCTGAAATACAGCTGAGGCCAAATGTTATCTCCAGGGAGGAAATGCACAGGGGGTCTAAACCGCATGACCAGCGAAGTGCTGGGACAGGAGAGGTTCCCCTGGGGACAAGGTCCTTGTTTTCCCAGTTTTCCCCCTTGCTGGGCATCTGGGGCTTTTTGCCCTGGTGAGTCTCTGCACCTGGCCCATCAGCTGGGCTCTGCTCATGTCTAAGTCTCCTTGTGGCTAACTGGGCTCAAAGTTTAAAAAGAGAGCCTAGCAGCCATTTCTAAACAGGGGCCTTTTAGCAAATATTTCAAGGAGAAGCCTGCACTAAGCTACCCACCTCCTACACTAGCCTGCCTGTCTGCACTGTGTTCTGGCCACCTGAGCCTGCCCTTGAGATCCTAGAATCCTACGTCAACCAATAGGACTGAGACTTTCCCCATCCAATGTAAGCTGTACATCTATATCTTTATTAGCATATCCATAGACCAATCAGAGCAGCGCCACTCAGACCAATCAGGACTATGCTTTACGGGCCAATCAAGCTGTGAGAATTTGGAATCCTCATTTGCATGAGGGTAAACCAAGCACAGACCAGTGGCAGTGACTTTTCTACGTCAATGCCCCTCTAGCACGGGGAGCACCTTGTCCCTTTCCACCAAAGATCGAACTGTGTTTCTTCAGCTGGAGCTGAAGCTGAAACATCAACGACACCTTGCCAAATCAGAGTGGAGTGGACCAGGGCAGGGCAGGGCAGAGCAGAGCTGGGTGGTCTGGGTTGGACCAAACTGGAATTAAGCAGAACACAGCTGTCTGGAGAAGGGCCTTGTCTGAGGACATTTGAGCTGTAACATCATTGAGGTGTCTAGCAGCTGCGCTGTCCTGGGCTGCCACTGAGGTTTGCTGAGTACAGCTTCCTTCTTCTAACTGGGGATTCCAGTTGTAATTAAATTGGCACCAATGACCATAGACTGACACACTCCACTACCTTTGTGACTTTCAACAAGACTGTGACTTCCATGTTTCCATAATAACTAATGTACCCCAAGTAAGACTATAAATTAAAAGGGGAAGAATACTGGACAACATAATTTAGTGTGTAAGACAATGACTTCTCTGGGAGACACCTCTGTACACATAGGTCTTTGATTTCTAGACAGTAGGGAGATCTCAGCAGGAAATAAACTGGTGGTAAGATCTGTACAACTTATTTGTGGGTGCTTTATTAAGATATATACTACTGTAAGGCAGGAACCTTGACTAGACTCATTTTTCACATAAATGATTATTGATCTTGTAGCCTTGGAAAGGGAGACAATTCTGCCCCTTTCTTTTCTCCAGTTCTGTAAGTAAATTTCTCCACTGGCTTCTGATTTTGCAGCTTTAACACTGAGGGGATCTAGGAGTAGTTTTCTACTCAGACAATGTGCTGAGCCCCGAAACCAAACATCATGGTATACTAACATTATGGCTAAGTAAGAGTGTCAGCTTGTATGCTGGTAAGTTTTGTATGGAACTCACACAGGAAGGAAATTCAGAGATACAAGCATACTGCAGATATTATGGGTTTGGTTCCAGACCACAGCCATAAAGTATCGCAATAACGTTGAGTCACACAAATTTTTGGCTTCCCAGTGCGTATTATGTTTACAATATACTATAGTCTATTAAGTGTACAATAGCATTATGTCTAAAGACAATGTACACATCTTAACTTAAAAATACTTTATTGCTAAAAAAATGTTAACCATGACCTGAGCCTTCAGTGAGTTGTACTTGTTTTTCTGGGTCTTGCCTAGATGTGGATGGCTGCTGACTGATCAGGGTGGTGGCTGCTGAAGGCTGGCATGACCTGGCAAGTTCTTAAAATAAGACAGCAATGCGGTGCTATTTGTCACATCTGCATTACTTCCTCCACTGAAGCCTACACCCCTCAAACTCAGCCATGATTGTTGAAAGCACCTTCTTCCAGACTCCTGTTAATGTTAAAAGTTTGACTTTTCCTGTGAATCACAAATGTTTTAATGGCATCTAAATGCTGAATCCGCTCCTGAAGATCTTCAGTTCACTTTGCCCAGATCTACCAGAGGCGTTGCTACCGAGGCAGCGATAGCCTTATGCGATGCGTTTCTTAAATAAGACGCCTGTAACACATATAATGAAATTTGAAATATTGTGAGCATCACCAAACCGTGCCACAGACATGAGTGTGCACACGCTGCTGGAAAACGGGCACCGACAGACTTGTTTGGCACATGGTTGCCTCAAACCTTCGATGTGTAAGAAGTACAGCCTCTGCGAAGCACAAGGACGGGAGCTGCACTCACCGGGGGTGTTTTAAACACCGAGTGTGGGAAACTCATGCCTGCAGCAAACTGTTTACACACCCAGCACTCCAGGGTCAGACGGCAATCTCGGCGCGGCCCCCTCTCATTCCTGCAGTAAGAAAGGAAAACGCCGCGCACTTCGCGCGCCAGTTCCATAGGGCTTCCTTCACTTTCTCTTCAGAAAAACCCACTTTTACAGATGAGAAAACGAAACTTAGAAACTGGCAAACTAGTAGAAGTCCAGAAGCATCTCCCACTGTACACAATAGAGTACTGAGAAATTAAGCTTTACACTTTTCCCAGTCTTTGCTTTGGAAACTGTGTGCCACTGGACTTCTTATTTGCCTGACTTACGCTAAACAGGAATTGGCGCGCCGATTCCTGGGTCGACCTGACCCCTGTTCG